AATAAATGATACCTATCAGAACACCAGATTCCTCTCACAAAATGAGTTTTAACTTTTATACTTAAAAACACTTAGCACTATTAAATTTATTAACCAGCAGAATACTCAGATGGCATTACCTACTCACTGGGCTCTATTGAGGGGTCCTCCCCAAAAACTATGACTCTCAGGAAGCAGATAAATCACTCAAAAGCCATTATTTACAAGGGGCAAATCTACAGATGGATTGATTTGGGTTTTTTGGCTGCAATTCCTGGAATTCTTTGAGAATTCCCAGAACTGGCATCCAAAAATCAAAACAGCACAGACTACTTGTAAGCTTCTCTGAGCATTAAGGAACACAGAGACAGTACAACTCACTTTACAACTGTAAAGATCATAGGATGAGTCATACTGGTGTGACTGGTGGCCAAGCTTACACATGTTAAACTCTATTCCTGATACTCACAGTAAACGATGTAACTGTATTGCTGGGGTTGGGTTAATGAATATTCCTTTGTACATTATGGCCCACTCTACTTTCAGGATAGGATTCTGTTACAAACAGAGAAGAGGCTTTTGCTATCAGAATTGATATATCTTTGTCTCATCAAGATCAGGGATGCTAAAACAGCAAGTCTGCTGATGGTTCTGGTGTGATGATTTCTGCTGTCATTGTGTGCAAACCATTCAGGATGAGGTCTGCAATGATGCCACCCTGGAAGACTGGTATGTTAAATGAATAAATAAATAAATAAATAAACAAATAAATAAATAAATAAATAAATATTTCAGATAATGCATGTCAGATAAAATAAATAAATAAATAAATACAGAAATTGTATGTAAAATAATTTAATTTAATTTAAATAAATAAACAAGTAAGCAGAAAATTGAGATGGGGAGAATTAATGGTGTTCTAAAACTGGTTTAAATTTTTTGGTACATTTAAAAATATTTATATGTTATATTTTTAAATTTTTAATCAATATGTTTTTAATTATTTGTTGATTTTTAATTATTTTCTTCTACGCTGTCTTGAGTCCCCACAAGGGGAGTAAGGCAGGATAGAAAAAAGCATGCAAGCATCAAAGGGTCACAGGGGCTTATGTAGGCAACTGCCTACTGGCTCATGGCGCACTCCTCCCACCCCCAAAATTAGATCAGGCATCACCCCTTCTCAGATATATCTTGAGAACAGAGGATCCAGCTATCCCCAGCTGAAGATCTTAACTTGGATACAAATATGGGGCTTCCTGGGCATGAAATATAGGAAATTTCCACCTAGCCAGGCCTCATTCATCAATCAGAAACAAGAACAGAATTTATTCTGAATACATTTAAGGAAATATGAAATCACTGGGGTCAAGGTGGATGTATTTGTAACCAGGGAAAAATGGAAGTGCAAGAGATATTGCTCATGACATGGGCAGGTCAACTATTCCCTAAGGGATGTGTTCATGATCCTGTGGTCGTGGAGTCTTCTCTGTATTTTATCTCCAATCATCCTGCTCCACAAAGTGGTGGTAAAACTTCAGCAAGAGAGATTAAACACTATTCTGATTGCCCCTTGGTGGCTGCATTAGCTTTGATTTACAACACTGAGACTAATGGCAACAGATATCTACCAGCTGCTAATCGCTCCACATCTGATCACTCAGACCAAGGGGAGGATTCATTACCCAGACCAGTTCAGATGGAAACAGACAGGATGGAGTGCTCTCCAACAATCAAGCAAATTGTATGTGAGCCGAAAAAGCCCCCACCAGATGGAATTAAAAGTATAGATGGGGAAAAAATCATGAGGGGTGCCTCACCTATCACCTTCTCTCTACACCATGCTACATTTTCTCTTATGTTCAATGAAAATGTATCTCTTAGTAATAGTTGCATATCAGCACCAAGACACACACCTGCATCTGGGTTGTTTTTGACATACAACTCTAAATATTTCTGAAACGCCCCCCAAAATTATGCTGCTGTGCAAGCCCCTTTACCACAGTGATCACTCTCACGAAAATGCTCAACTAGCTCATGAAGTCACATTTGAGACATTGGCAACTCTAGATCTCATGTTTCTCTTATACAAGACTTTTTCTCATGGCTATAACTTCATTACAAAGAGTGAGCTTGCTGCTCTCAGCTATAACCCGCCATTTCACAATTACACACAATTACACAGGGATATAGTGACTATCTTTCTGGATATGTTCTTCCTACCTTAGGTAGTGTCAGACTTGCATATCAATCGGCCCCTGGTGTTCCCAACATATTTCCTTCCCATACTCACAGTTGGAGAAGTTAATTCATACATTGGATTTTTGTAGAGTTCCCACATTCTATTACTCAAGAAGCAAACAGTTCCAAAAATCAAATAAGCTGTTAGCTATCAAGGAGCAAAAAAAGAGCAAGCAAATCACGTCACAAATATACCTAAGAGGATCATCAATATCATCGTTCTGAACATTCACAGATGAGGTATGACAGTTTCATTTTTTTCTTGGAATAGCTGACATTTGCTGTTAGCACTAATTTCTTGAATCTTAGCTTCATCACGTTGCTTTGGAGTGCTTGTTCTTGTGCAGCAAAAATCAAGCAGTTTTTTTCTTTAGGGTACCCAGTTTTAGCCTTGCCCATGCTGAATTATTACCATGCTTTCCTTCAATATTTCTCAGGTGTTGTCCATGTAGTGGTTTATTTTTCCAACTGTTTAATTTATTTTAAAATTATTGTTTCTTATATTGAGTCTTTGTTTCTGTTGTTTTCACAATATTCTCCATTTTCATCACCTTCAGTAATGTTTCTCTACTTGTACTGATATAATCATTTAGGCTTCTTTTTTCCTCCTCTACTATCTGCTGTATTTGCAGTAATCCACGGTAAATGTAATCTGCCCATATCACTTTTTTGATGTAATGTGTGATGCATATTCATGAGTTTCCATTTTTTAATCCAATTCTTCTAATTCATTTTGGGTCCAATCCATTGTTCCAGCCGGATATCTAATTACTGGAACTGCCCATGTGTTTATGGCTTTGATTTTATTTCCACCATTTAATTTTGATTTTAAGGTTCTTTAAATTTTGTGTGCAGGATGCTGTCTGCTTCTAGTATTCCAAGATATTTATAATTTTCATCACTTGATAGTGATTTTATAACATTGCCATTTTTTAACTTTACTCCATCTAGTTTTTGGATCTTGCCATTCTGTATTTTTTCCTTCTTCTTCTCTCCTCCTCCTCCTCTCTTCTTCTTGTGTTGTTGTTGTTGATACAAATACTAATAATACCCCACTCTGCTACAGTAATAAAACACAATAAAAACTCATTTAACGTTAAAATAATTAAAAACTAAACACTATAAAAGCCATTAAAATCAACATATCTACAGTTACAATAAATCAACAGTTACCATCATCACGAGTTAAACACTATCAAAAACCAGTTTAAAATATATATGTTCACACTTTTCCTAAAAGCAGCGAGAGTAGAAATTATTCACAACTTTGACAGGAATGCATTGCAAATCTGGAAATCACACAGAAGAAAACACTGCCCTGCATTTTTATCAAGTAGGTTTCTGCAGCTGTTGGTATACTCAAGATAGTCTCCTCCAATGATGTTAACATCTAGATCAGGTTTGTCCAACCTGTGGTCCGTGGGCTGCATGCGGCCCAGGTCGGCTCGTAATGCGGCCCAGTGCACTTTGTATTTAAAAAGAAATTCCAAAGTTTCAAGTTACACTGCCGGCGCTTGTGGCCGGAATGCAACCAGGCACGTCACAATGGTAGGGGGGGAGAGAGGGAAGGAAAGAAGCAGCGGAGGGGAGAGGGGGCTGTGTGACTGCATTGCACCATCCTCGTCAATAGGTAGACTTCCTCCTGGCCCCATAAAGCCACTGGAGTCAAAGCTGGCAGCCTCTGCTGTCTGAGATCGCAGCTGCTGGTAAGCTGGTAAGCTGCGGAGGACAGCTAGGGCTGCCCCCCCATGCGGCCCAAACCAAATTTATGTGCAGCCCAAACCAAATTTTTATCTTCTAATGTGGCCCAGGGGGGGTGAAAGGTTGGACACCCCTGATCTAGATAGATTCATAATGAGACAGTCAGCCCCTTAGATAGCTACAAACCAAGCATCTAAAGCTTTGATGTTTAAAACGACTACTTTGGTGGCCACCACTGAGAAGGCCCAGTTCCTGGCTGTAGAGTTCCAGGTCTCTCTCAGGGTGGCCACCTGCATCATCAGGGTTTGGGAGGCGCAGGTGTGCTGGGTGGTAGATATGAGGAAGAGGAGCTCCAGAAGGTAGCAAGATCCCAAACCATTCAGGGCTTGTACAAAGGCACTCCTCAGCACTACTGCTACCTGGGAATCCAGAGACAGTTCTTCCAGACTACAAACTTGATCTCTCACAAGGAATGTTAATGCCGTCTATAAGAGGTTGAATCCCAGTCTCAACCCCCAGATTTCTACCGTGTTTCCCCGAAAATAAGAGAGGGTCTTATATTAATGTTTGCTCCAAAAAAAAGCATTAGGAGATTTTTTAAAATATCCATATTATTCAAATGCAGTCATGTCATCTTCTGGTTGCTGCACAATGGTGAAGGGCGGGGTTTCACTTAACTGGGGATTATTTTTGGGGTAGGGCTTATATTGCAAGCATCCAGAAAAATCATTCTAGGGCTTATTTTCAGGTTAGGTCTTATTTTCAAGGAAACAGGGTACTGAGCAACAGCACCCACATCATTTCACTTTGTTCATCCTCATCCGGCTATTATCAAGCTTAGACAGCATGCAAAAGTCCCAACTGCTCCCTTGTTACAGGTTGGATAACAAGGAGCAACAGAGATTGCAGTCCTAATCACACTTTCTTGGGAACAATTCCTATTGAACTCAATGTGTCAGGTTTCTGAAAAACTGTGTGGGATTCTGTTGTAAGACAGCTATCCTCTGGAAAAATATGTTCTGCTCATGGCGAGGGGCATTTGACTTATTTGCCTTGATTTCAACTAATTTTAATTTACTCACATCAGTATTACAGGAGCGATAGCGTTTCCTTTCTCCAAGGCAGTATTTTCCTCCACCCGAGGGTCTGGAAAAAAAGAGCAAATTTTATTAATATTTAAACAGGAATAATGAAAAATTCACACACTAGACTCCATCTTATTCCAGTTCTTTCTCAGTACTGTACAGATCAAGAAAAATATGGATTTTTAAACTTAAAATTTAAGTAGTATTAATTCAAATGAAAAAATGTTGTTTCAAAAATAAGATGTTTCTGAAAATGAAGAAAAAACATACTTTTTTTCTGTCCAAGACCCACAAAAATAATATACTCATATATGTAACAGTGTGCTTTTGTAACCAATGGTGTATATTTGTATCTAGTGTCAGTGGAATTGTAATTTTCTTTTTCCTCTTGCTGCATTCCTCTGTGATACCAAAAGCCTGGTTCAGGAAGCTTTCCAGCCCTCCACAGCAGGTTTTTAGGATGCACAGGGGCTGTAGTTAGGCAGAAGCAGCAGGTCTAACAGGAGTACAGTACTGGATCCTGATCTCTACTTATTTCTGTGTCATACTTTGAAACTATCTCCGAACCCTAAATAGTGTTTTGCAATTTTGGCTCTTCAATAAACATCACCTGCGGGTGTTTCAATAATAGTCTCAGAAATGTCTTTGTTCAAAAAACCTGACAGAAAAACTACATGTTTTTAAGTGTAAGATAACTGTATAAACTCTGGACATTACAGTATCTTAAAAACAACAACATGCATGACAAGTTAGACTGTAATACAATTTGATTTGAAAAGACATTTGTAAATCTGCAACTACATTGCAATATAATTCACACTGCAACCCAGTACATACTATTCAGAAGTAAGCCCCATTGAATTCATTGGGACTTTCTCCTAGGTATGTACTCCTAGGATTGTAGATTCAGATGATACAGCAATATTATAAAATATATAGAGAATATAAATTATATATATATATATAGGTACATAAGATTCTATAAACGTTTTTTTATAAGAAAAAAAGAGAATGAAACAATAAGAACAAGTGATGGGGTATTTCATGACAAAAATCTAAGTTTAAATACCATGTGAATATCTCCTAGGTGAGCCTCTCTTCCTATGCTAGAATTCATCCATTTATTATATAATGGTCTGCATCCTGTTGTCCAGCTCCACTTGCACAACAGAAAGGATGTCAGTAGCAGCAGCAGCAGCAACTGCCACTCATCAAAGGCTTGGGTTTTTTTGTTTTTAATTTCAGGGTGCATGCAACATTGTCTCAGTTCATATCAGTCATGCACATGCAAAAACTGGAAATTGAACTCTTTAATTAATTGTACTCTGCTACCAACAACATTACTACTGAACAGGTGGACCTAATAAACAGTATAATAGCCAGTGTGTTATTTTATAATTTTCTCTGATATCTGGTCAAAAACCTCAAATCACCACTTGCTGGTTATAGTAACTTCTAATAAATCTAGTTCAAAGATTTCAGCAGAGATCTTCCAACTAGTGCCTTAGAGAACTGTCTTTACTGTGCCAGTCTTTCTCCAGCGAAGCTAGCTCTTGGCTAAAGTACAAGCTAGATTATTCCTCTTCAGTCAGTGTGTCTCAATGGGTTCTTCTGTCAAAGAGTGGGGAAATCCCAAATGTAGTGAAGTTAGTTCTTCAGCTAGTGCACTGGCTGTGGACTGTATAATGGGATATAGCACCTCCTGATGCCATCCGGCCTGCAGAGGGGCTGCATTAGTATAATCTGTCCCTCTCCAAAAATGGTTCTTTTGAAATAAATGATAGTAAATATCCATGCATATCTAGAGTGGTTTTAATTCCCCTCAAATTAAACAGAAGCTAAATTGTTTTGATCAATGAGTTTTTAGATACACAGAAATATAGTTACTTATGAAAAGGGGCATTTAAAATACTCCCTACCACATTGTTTTATAGATCCCAAAGACTGTTGATGCTGAGCAGAGGAAAACCATTTTTGATGTTAACAGCTGAATGACTCTTACAACAAACTATATTAATGTGTATTCGCAAAGACTTTCATGGCTGGGATCTAATGGTTGTTGTGGGTTTTTCAGGCTATTTTGGCTGTGTTCTGAAGGTTGTTCTTTCTGATGTTTTGCCAGTCTCTGTGGCCGGCATCTTCAGAGGACAGCACTCTGTGCTCTGGTCAGAGTGCTGTCCTCTGAAGATGCCAGCCACAGAGACTGGCGAAACGTCAGGAAGACCAATCTTCAGAACACGGCCAAAGAGCCCGAAAAACCCACAACAACCATTATATTAATGTGCATTCACTGAAGCTACTGAAAACAACAATGCATCCTGAATTTCTCTGAGTGTTCTACAGCAGTGATGATCAGAAAGAAATGTCCTAGCCGATAAAGATCAGCAATAAGATGAAAAGCAAATTGCCTTGCAAAGCCATGCCATGAAAAGGGAGAACATCAAGCTCCTGACAGCAAAGACTCAGTGGCCAAGCTCCCAGTGAAAATAATTATGTAATTTTTTTTACAGAGACAACATTGCACTTTAGAGGACCAATGAAAGGAATATAAGAAACAGGCACAGGAAAATGTAATTAGTTTTTACTGGATATGACAAGGCAAAAATGATGGAGAAATATAAATGTTTCAGCACATTGCTACAATTGATACTTATGAAGCTGGATAGAAGAACCTGAATGGAAGACAGTTCCAAAAAGTGGGATGATCTGCCACATTATTCATTTATTTATGTGGTATTTTCAAGAGCTTCTATAATCTTTTATCACTTTGCTGCCATAATGCACACATACATGGTATGCTAATCTTTACAAGAGCTTATTTCAATGCATTCCAAAAATTTCCCTTGGGTAATACTGGGAATCACAGCCTTTAGATGCAGATATTTTTCAGGGCATTATAACATTAGTTCTGCCTTACAGTTTTTGTTATATGCAGACAAATCCAAAGGAATATTGGGAAATGGGGAAAGAATAGGTAGCTAGGTAGGATGAAAATCTGAATTTGTAAAATTGTATAAGCAGTAAATCTGTTTCTACAAAGCAGTAAGGACATAGAGAAAAGAACTCCTCTCTAGACTGGGTCAAAGGGTATGTATATTCAATATGTTCCAGTATTTGCAATTCAAGTCTGCATAGATATCTTGCATTCTCCCAATATTATAATTTGGTCTATCCTTTTGTCAAACTGGTTCAAAATATTTTTGTCAGTTTATAATGTAAATTTTATTACCCCTATTTCCTCCAAGAACCTGAATAGCATAAATTGGCTCCCACCCGCATACCAGCAACATAAAAAACTACTATATATTTTGCTTCTCTGTTGCACTCCCTAAGCAGAATTTGGGGAAGTGCTGCAGATATGAGAAGCCATCTTTGTGAAAGTTTGTCAAGGTTTCATTCTAAATTTTCTTCAGGCTGTTTGCTTTCATTCCTTGCCATGTCCATTTGGTACAATGGCTACCTCATTCTCTTCTTCCAGCTGTATTATGCTGTACTATTTGAAGAGCAAATGGAGATTCAGCCTGGGCCTGCACCTTCAAAGGGTTATGGTTTGACTGCCAGCATTAAGCCAGCATCAATATGGAATCTACACATATGTGCAACCAGACTAGAAGTCCGATCATACAGGTTAGTTGCACATCAGCGTGTAGGCAATACAAAAATCGAACAAGAATGCTGGACTAGTAAAAATTCAATCATTCTTCTGATACAGGGAAAACCCACCCAGATGCTTTGCTTACTGTTCTTAAAGGTTTTCATCCTAATTCTGATTCCATTATCACAAACATTAACATGAAGAGAGTCCTTCCTTCTGAAAGTGTAATTCCTCTTTTCTAGCTTGTTGTTCCCATTATTTTGATTGTGCCACTTGGTCACTTGGGACACACAGTTATGGCTGCAATTGTGACTTACAATTTGGGAATAGTCACTGAGGCATTATTCATTATCCATATGGAAAAATATGAGATTTTAAAAGAGAGAGAGAGAATAGCATGTGTATGTGCATATACATATACATGCATAGAGTGCAGCAACACTTTTCCCAATCTTTGTAGTTAAAAAAACTTATTCTGATGGTATTCTAGATCAATCACTTATGTTTCTCCATAAGAATATGTATATGGGAATAGTGGAGATGATTATGTACAGGGGAAATACTGTTTGAAAGAGTTCCATAGATAAAGGTATTTCATGCTGCTCTTGGACTCTAGCATTAGAGAGGGCAAGGAAAAGCAAAGGAAGAGGCTTACCAGACCCAGAAGAAACAGTGACCAGATGCAAACATAGGTTGACTGAGGAACACAAAGTAGTAAAAACTATATGAGATGAGAGAGAAACAAAGGTAGAAATGAGGGAACATTGTGATATGTACAACTGCAGGGCAGTTATGAGACTAGACTCAAATGAGGCAGTCCACATAAGAGACCAATTGCTGAGTTCCCACAGTTTCAACCATGCTTGTAAGAAGAGAGAAAATTATTACTACGTAAAATGATTGCTAAATGGTGATTTTAAGAAATTGACAAGTTTTTCATCTTATATTGCTATTACTTACTATATAAAGATGTGTAAAGGCAACTGCCTGAGCAGATGTGAACAAGAAAACCATTATCCCTACTGAAAGACAAAGAAGTTACAGTTTTTCCTGAAAATGGACCCATGTCAAGTTTATTTTTTCATAGTTCAGAATTCCTGAGTCTTGTGCTTTTGGTGATAGCTTGAGAACAATACTCATTTTTAAAAGCATTATTATTTGCTTTCCAATATATGTGCATATTTATGATGAACGATATAGCATGTATGACATACATGAAAGACTTTCTTTCCTACATTACACTATTTATGAACAAAAACATTATGATATCTGAAATGACCTCCAAGGTGGCTATAGTGTCCAAACTGCTGCTTTGAAGTTGCAGCCATCCAATGTTCACTGTAACTTGAGAGGAGCAAGGAAGGCATTTGCAATGTACTCCTGTTTTAATTCCCTTATGGAATATAGGTAAGCCATTAAGGCTGGTCAAAATGAGAAAGAAATATACAGACAATTTGGTTTTAGCTGGCTGCAGGATAAAAAGAAGATAGAAAACTCAGGACTATTAGAACAGCAGCTGTGAAGTTAAAGCATATTGCTTATAACATTTTGTGAAGCAGGTAAGAAGAAGGCTGTCCACAATGTCAAGTATAGCATGCAAATGATCTAACTAGTTAGAACTTTGAAGCCAGAAAGTAAGTTTTAAAAAAATTGAACAACTACCAAGTTGTTAATGATTAAGTCACTGATAATTATGTCACTAACAAGAATGAAGACAAAAGGTTTCCCTCATAAATTAATGCTAGCAAAAGAAGGAACTGCATTTTCTGAACACTAGTAAAGAAACAAAGAGACTGAGAAACTTTCAGACCATGTGACAAAGATCCACATAGCTAAACAGACAATGCTACTGGAAAATGGGATGTGTAGGTTGAGAATATTTTACCTCTTTAAAAAAAGCATTATTATCTTATAGAGGGGAATAGTTTAAAATGTTAAGATTTAGTTTACATTTTAATACATTCAAAACTTTTTTAAAAAATCCAAATACCAGAAACATATTCTAACTCTTATAGAGGGGAATAGTTTACAATGTTAAGATTTAGTTTATATTTTAATACATTCAAAAAAATTTTTTTAAAAATCCAAATACCAGAAACATATTCTAATTAGTATATTGTGTGTGTTATGTGCTGTCAAGTAAAATCTGATTTATGGTCAGAGTTTTCAAGCTGCGTGAGATTTTTAAGGAATGGATTTACCAGTGTTATACCCCATGAGTTTTCATTCCTAGACAGAGATTTGAATTTTGGTCTCCCAAGTCCTAGTCAGACACTCTACCTACTATACCACATTGGCTTATTTAATGTACTGTATTAAGTGGAATTTGTTGATTGTTTGTTTTATGTAAGTTCAATCACAAGAAAGAGAAATTATTTGCCAAGTATTAAATTTTAAAAATCATGGTTGCAAGTGGATAGATTAAAGACATAAAAACATGTCAAGCAAGCTTCTCCAGCATAGCTGATCTTCTCTTCTCTTCTAAAGACAAGTATTGGTACAGTATTGAAACACTTTTACAGATAACATGTGAAACATTTCCAAATATGCCTTTTTTGCTGGCTCTGGCTTACTTTAGCTACTTACGCTGGACTGTCACAGTGTCTTATGGATGATGAGACTCCTCCCCCGCAGGTCCTGCTGCACTCTCCCCATAATGACCAGGGACCCCAACCCCCATCTATGCTCTGGGGCCAAGTGCCAAAAGGTACGCACTCTCCCTGAAAACACCACTGAAAAGATTTCATAGAAAACACAAAATTAGCTTCAATTGATAGAATGATAAGGACAGAAATATATATGGGGTCAGGGATTGACCAAATAGAGGCATCAGCATTCTTTGTACAGATAACAGAGAAGTTTCACTTTCTTTAGCCATGTTTAGTTACTGCTGAAGGCAACCATTTATTTATCTTTAGTTAAGCCTTAAATATAAATCCCTAACATACATAAAATTTAACAAATCAGAAATTTTCATTTAAAACATCTTTTAAAATTTCCATCTTTTACTGAAAGAGAAAGCAACAATTAACTGAAAACCTTCCTTAAACATTAGCAATAACATTAAGTGTGTAAGAAAAAAACCCTCTCACCTACTTTTATTTGAACTAATGATTTAACAGCATAACACGGAAAGTTCTCTAGTTAGGATTTTTTTGAAAGTCATTGCTTTTTCTTTAAGTATGGATGATGTTACAATCGAAGAGGAATTTGAAGCAGCATTTCATCTATACTTACATTGCAGACATAATAAAAGTAATGCCAAGACACTAGAAATAACAAAAAAAACCCTTTACACTCTCTGACTAGCCAGTTGTTCAGAAAGTACATGAACATATGGACTGAAATTTTAAAATAGCAATAGCTGAGCCTTAAACCTGGCAGTATGTGGTTATGATGGGGCATCAGGTTAGTAGGAGAAATATATATTTTGAGTTATCCTACTTTACTCCCTTCAGATTCAACCAAACCCTTCCTAGGTTTCTCTGTTCTTCAAGTTATCTTTTTTTTTCCTGTCTTTAGCACATTTGTGCTAAAGAGATAGGACAGCATATAGCAACATTCCCTATATAAATCTTCCCAATCACTAAGATCTGCTGGAGAGGCCCTCCTCTGTGTCCCACCATTGAGAAGAATCTGTTATGTGGAGACAGATGGGAGGGCTTTTTCTGCTGTAGCACCCCAACTGTGGAATGCCTTCTATTTGGAGGCTCAAATGCTGCCAACATTGGCATCATCTCAGTGCAAAGTCAACACATGTTTACTTATTAGAGCCTTTGGGTACATACATACATACATACATACATACATACATACATACATACATACATACATACATACATACATACATACATACATACATACATACATACATACACCTCTTATCAACATGCCCCCTTTTCATAAACACTATTCCACTGAAGGAGAACTAAAACTCATGATAAAATACAATTACTATACTTCTTGGCATAGCATAGCATTGACTAAATTTATACACAGATAACCAGACACATGACAAAAGTTTACAAGAATAAGTTTCTTTTGTCCTTCCAGTTGACAGTCAGTTACTGGAAATGTTGCAAGACAGTCAAGACCATTTCAGTACTAATCATGTGCTCTAAACACTGCCACAACGTTTGGATTGGAACGAAAAGGCACTGTAATTTCTCACTGTTCCTTACATAAAGTTAATTTTTAATCCTTTGTAGCATTTCTGAAAGAATGCTTTCTATGTCTCCTCCTTTGCTTAGGGGAACTGAACAGACAACAGAATATTTATTCGCAAAGGCTTTCATGGCCGGGATCTAATGGTTGTTGTGATTTTTTTTGGGTTCTTTGGCTCTGAAGATGCTGGCCACAGAGACTGGCGAAATGTTAGGAAGAACAACCTTCAGCACGGCCAAAGAACCCGAAAAACCCACAACAACCAACAGAATATTTCCTTCTCACATATACAAAGAAATAGAGCCTGAAGAGTTGTATTCTGCATTTGCTCTTAAATGTTTTCTCCATTTTATCTTCACAACAGCTGTGGTGAGGTAGTTTTAAGACTAGCCTTAAGTAAACTAGTGAGATCAGTTTTTGGCTCTAAACTTGAACATGGATCTCTTCAGTTACAGTCCAACATGTACAACACTGTTTCTTGGATGAAGTAGGCAATATATAATATGCAAAACTGCTGGAGGCAAGACTATCTTCGCATTGTGTTTCATGCAGAACAAGTCTGCAATACTTCTGAGTCCTGCAAGTCTTCTATCAGACTGGGCATTTCAAAGCTTGGAAGGTAGAGATGCTTGGATTACTACAGTAAGTAGGGAGAGGGGGAAAGAAATTATTTTGGCTAGATGCTAAAGCTTTAGGATCTGCAGTCAAATTAATCTTCTAAGATGGAGACTGCAAACTTAAAGGTTCAGTTTGAGATATGTTGGTAGTATCAAATTTCACCTCAGGGGATGTAGCGTCAATTGTCTTTCTCCATTTCCACAGACAAAAAGTCACAAGTTGCAGAGAAGAAGTACCCACAAAAACAGCAATCTCCATAAAAGAAAGATGGAGATTAAATTTAGTGACAAACTAGGCAAAACCAAAATAAAACAAAAACGCAGTTAATTTATGTTTATGATATTTTAATGGTTCAATAAAAATATTAGCCATCCCCTTTTTTGGCTTTTGCATATGGCTTTGTTTCTTGTTTGTTTCATTGTGGAAAATATCCTCCAAAGCCACCTAGGGCAGGATCTACAAAGCAAGGATATTTATCACCACTCAGGAAGGAGTACACTGAGGACTCCATCCTGTTCTAAGACATATGGCACTTACATACAAGTATTTGATTCTGAATGGGAAGCGGGAAGAAAACTTGTTGTAGCCACTCCTTCCTGCACGATGGCAGGTGCCATCTCTCCACTGGCAATATTTTTTTCTTGGCTGATGCAACCTCCACTGAGGGACCAGTTACTACTACTAACTCTTGACACAGACCACTGTATATTTCCTTTCTGATCTATAGTCCCACGGCACATGGCTATTGGGTATTCTTTTTAGCATGGTGGACTAAGAGCTTCCCAATGTGTTCAGGGTCCTACATCACAAATGGCCTCCCACAGATTTATATTTAACAGTTTAGCAAGTATGGATAATTCACATTAGACTAACCCAAATAAAGATGGCCAGAAATTCTGTAATATGTTGAATTCTAACTCTGTGATGATATCAGCTGTCCCCATGGCATGCTGCATATAAGCAATGATGCATGTAAAGTAAATGGAAACCTATCACTGCAGGTACAGCACAACTCAATCTATGAAACACAATTAAGATTACTCTGCCCTTTACAAATCAGAATACTTCAGTCAGAAAAAAATATGTAGACATAATGGTGGCAGATAACCTAGATTTCTTCATTACTGATACCAATGCAATCTATACTTTTAGAAATATCTGTGCTATAAGATCTACTTTGACATGAGTCAATCATCAATTCTACTCTTGCTTTTTTCTTCTTTCTGATATGTTCACCCTATATATTTATTTATTTATTTATTTATTGCACTTATACCCCGCCTACCTAGTCGAATGACCACTCTAGGCGGGTGCTGTATCAGAAATGAAGTGAATGCATGGAAGAAGCAATGGAAATTTGCACTATTGAACTAGATTATCATTAGAATTCTACTGACTTCAAATTCATGAATAAAACAAATTAATAATAAAAGGCATTTGGCTCACTTAACTCTTCTTTCTTAAAGTGGATTTGTGATACACTGATGTGATGATTAAGATTTCACACATTTGTCATACGTGACACCACACCATTAACTTTCATATACTTTTGTGACCATGACCCCTGGCATGTTTTAGTAACTTCAAAAGGGACAATCAACAATCAGCGGATGCACGTATGCCAAAAAAATAATAATAATTGTGCATCTTTTCTTGCACATTGCTTCTAGCAACAATTTAACTGTATTTATGCATAATATGCTTGTGCATTTATATTTTCCATTCCTCCAAAGACCAGTCAGGATATGAAAGGAGCATTAGAAGAAAAAAAGATAGTTGGGATACACAGAAATTTAAAAAAAAAAGATTTTCAGAAAAGTTGAAAAAGCAAATAGGCAAGAAAGTGGCTGAGGCAAGCTGAGAGAAAACATGGCAGTAAACTGGTTGAATGAGTATCAATGATCAGAATAAGGAACACAGTTTTGTGCTCAGATAAGATTCAATTATTTGACTCCATTTAACCTATAAATGAAAAGCTATAGCTGTAGATATAGCACTCTTAACCCATTGTACAACATATTGGGCTTGAAGTTACAAAGAATACATCTCTCCTTCGAACTCAGCATTAAGGTAGTCCTGTTATCTACTTAAGTATTTTGAATAGCTAGTTGAGATGTTGAATGCCACTGAATTTGAAACAAAGCTCCATTTTAACTTCTCTTAAAGAAGAAATTTATTAGTTACTTACCTGTGATAGTTTTCTACAACTATTTTACCGCCATGCTTTTGCGATTGTCCCTGCCCAGACAACAGATAAACATTTTCCAGAAAGCATCAGGGATGAGAAAGCACTAGCTCCATATTCTGACATATTTACTGTGTTGTGGACAAACATGGCTACTTCTTTGAAAATATAACAAGAAAAGACACCAATACAGCACCTGCTCACCTAATTTCAAATTTGAACACCACAAACTCGGGAGATAACAAGGTAAAATATAAAATCTGATTAAGTGTCTTCTAAAATAGGATAGGATGTATCACTGCATAGAGAATCATCTGTAGGATATTAATATGTAATAGCAATAGTTCATTCCTAATGGCTTTGATGCAATTCAGAAATTAGAAGTTCAACATATTCACTTATAAGAAGTTAAATGCAGCAAGCTGTCATGAAATAACCTTGGCAATATGATCAGTCAGATCCAATGGTGCAGTGGTATCTGTATGTCGGTTTTGATGAGGAGGCCATCTTAAGGAGATTACAAGTTATAAGTTCAGATGTGAGGCAGACTCTCTGCACCACCATTTTCATTTGGAATAATCAGCATGTTCCTTAGGCCCAGAATGTCTCACATTTTTACAGGATTATTATGCCTTCGGAGCATGTATATGGGGAGAACGCTAGACTTTAGAATATTCCAGATGGTTATTTCGGTTGCCTGCATAAGCGCATTCCCGTATTAGAGACAAGACAAACACGGTTCATCAAAGAATCCCAGGCATCAATAAGAAATTATATTTTTAAAATAAAATAGTAAGATTCTCGTTTTGTTTTGTGGAATTGTTCTATGTTATAAAAGGAATTGAGCATTTCATTCTGCAACTCCTACACACTTAATGTTCTTTTTCAGTCTTTCATACATTTGTGAGTTATGCTTAACCTAACAATAGTTGGTCAATAATTAATAGTAATTGAACTCACCCCCTTTTCAATACTTCCAGTTTGGCAAAGAGTACCCTCAGCAGCTGGAATACTGTTGGTAACACAGCGATTACTCTTGCTGAGACACCAAAGCTCTCTACACACTTCCTGGGAAAGAAGGCAAAAGCAAGTTGTTCAGAAGAAATGAACAGAATGTATTCAAATGCTCCTTAGAATGCACATATTTGCTCTGAAACTCCAAGACACTGCTCTACATACATACATACATACATACATACATACATACATACATACATACATACATACATACATACATACATATGCACACATTTAAATATATCTTAGAATATTAATACAAATGGGCCACTTCATATTAGCATCTTCTAAATCAAAAAAATCTTCCTTCTTGAATTCCAAATTTGAATTGTTATATAATAAAATTGTCAAAATCATTTTGCATTTAACTGTACACTTCTTTTGCACTATATGCAGAAGTCTGTTGTAGGTAAGCATGGCGTCTCAGTTTGTACAGAAAACTGATTTACCATATACAAGGTCCTGAATAGGCATGTCAATCATCTCTGAATGTATATCAATAAAATCTGAAACTCAACACAGATTTTGAATTGCATACACAGATACCATTTCTTCAAAGGGGGATTATTGATGTTTCCAATGCAGATTCTTCACAAGAGCTGGGAACACCAGTTCTAGAACACAGGAATGGCAATGAGATTGCCGACTGCATCACCAATCAACAAACAATTTTTCTGGCTTTGAGATTACTACATTTCTTTTGATGAGGCAAGAATAATCCCACTAGAGATGGGCACAAACCTCAGTTTCAAGGTTTGTACATGCGGCACCAAGGGTGTTGTACATCCCCTGCCTCCCCACCTATTGACCCACTCACCTGTCGGAGATCAATCCTCTTCTCCCCTCCCCTTTCAGCTGTTCAATCAGTCCTCAGCAAGAGCACGGGTTTGCCTGTCTTGCTTCCTTGTCTGAGTGGGTAATCAGTCAAGAAGGTGGGATAGGGAAGCTTATGCTTGTGCCAAAAAATGGTTGAACAGCCAAAGAGGAGGAGGAGAGGAGCAGGCACCAGCTGGTGAGTGTGGGATGCAAGATCAGTTATCAAGAAATAAAAAGTCCTCAGTTGACTTCAAGCTCTGATTTGTTCATACAGTCAAAAGCTGAAGGGAGTCAACATGGCACCCAACATCAGGGGGCTCCTGATCATAGATGGTGCTTTTTTCCCAAAGCAGACCTTCAGTGCCTTTAACAGCTATATGAGATGGAAATTCAACAGATACAGCGTTTCCCATATGTGAATGTAATTGCATAGAAACTTCCCTGTTGAATTTCTGTAGTCATGCAATTGATTAAAGATGTAGCAACTTTATCTTCTTGTCTAATTAATGTCAGGATAAGTAATTGTTTACCAATAACTATTTAAGGCACTGATGGAATTCATAGTTTCATGTATCCAGAGTAAATCATGAATGATTCAGGGTAGTCAGGAAAGATGTTTGACAGAAGCATTTTAAGAGTTCTTATTCATGGAGTCATGAATTATTATCTCATGAGAATAACATCAGGGCAAAACTAAAGGAATATAAATTAAGTAAACAAATACTGAATGTTGTTCACTATAGTGCTGACAAGTAAGTAGTGTAACTTAGCAGTACTACCACCTCAAGAACATTATATGGATTGTATCTCTTAAATTCCTCCTTCTTGACTCACTGGTAGTATATGGAGGAAATAAAGTTCTTTTAAATTTTGCTAACAATTTAGAATTCAGGGAACAGACTTTGTGTGAGTTATATCCTGACCACAGCCAGTTCTCACATATAGCTACATTTGTATGGCCCTGAGTTGTTGTGACTGAACTGTAATGTATGAATTTTAGCAGAGTGGGTTTCCCCTCTTCCCACTAACCAAGCCCTATACTCTCTGTCTTCTCACCACATGTTGCTGCTTCTTTCATACATTTAATTGCTTGTTTTGTGTTCAAAGACTACCTATAAATCAAAATGCTAACTATTCTGCTTTGTACCATACAGACATTCACGTAGAAAAAGGCTCCTTACATTTTTAGAGCATGTAAATGTGATAACAAATACCAATGGTATAGAAACCAACACTCTGCATCAACTGCAAAATATTAATCCTTCCCTCTGCTTATCTTGGTCTCAGGACACCACTTGGACTGAAACAAGGTGAGTGACAGGAATAAACAAAACACTCCTATTGTTCCCCATGTCTGTCAACATGAAATACAGTATTGGTTGTGGAAGAGGTGTGGGCACAACAAATGTTTCTTGCACTGAGACTTCCAGTGATGACGCTGGTTTGGACTGCCCATTAGGTTGTCCAGAGATTCTTGTACTGTGGACAACTGGAAGCTCCATTCCCGTTACCTGCAGAAAGGTTGTAGAAGAGCTGAGAATTCACAAGCTCTTATTGGCCCTTATTATTTTCTAATGATAGAGATTTGAATCTGCTTTGATCTAGGCTGAATTACTAAACAGATAGTGATCTCTAATTTTAATGATATGCTTCCACAGTGAACTAACTTTATTTATTTTAATTTAAAATATGTATACCATGTCTTTGACTTCGTTTCAGTGGTTTTCATAATAAGGCCTTGGTTTTGGTGACTCTGAAGTGGAAAGTATCATTAAAATATTACTATAAGTTATGTATTATGTATAAATTACATAGAATATACAAAATGGTATGGTGAAAAACTTTGAAATGTTCAAGTGCTCTGCAAAAAAAAACTTGGCAATCACAGGCCTATACATTTAGTACAGCAATAAGAATTAATATTATGTAATTCTTCTTTTTAGGTCTGGAAATCACTTGCTGATTTCTCCCCCTCCTTTAGTTTTTTTCCCCTTCCCAGTTCAACATAATAAACATTTTGGAAGGTAATGTGTGTACTATCATGTGTAACTTGGTTATCTATGCTGAATTTGTACTGTTAAAAAAGAAAAAGAAAATTTTGGACTGAAACCAGGAAAAGGGAAGAAAGCTGAAATGTTTTTAAAATTCAGTTTTTAAAAGGTTATTACTCTTTTTAGTTTTGAAGAAAAATTAAAATATATATATTTAAATAGGATTCCTTACTATGTTTAATTAGACCATCAGATTAAACCATAAAAATGCTTCCTGCTTTTACTGAAATTTTGGCAATTTATATCTTCTTAATCTATTTTAATAATAGAGATAGAAAATATTTATACAAAGTTCACAGCACTATGATTTTTCTGAGCAAGTTCATTCATAATATAGTCTGAGAGATACATGCCATTTAAATCTGAATAGAGGAATATGCTAATATATTGGAATTTCCTTACACAGCAAATCATTAAAAGCTTCCCAACAGCAGCATCTAAATTTTACCATATATGTTGTTTAAATACTGGATTCAACATTAAAACTATTCAACACAATGAACATTGAAGATAATTTAAATTTCTAATATAGTTTATTTAATTCCCATGAGCTTACCAATAAACCCACATATACATTTTTGATACTTTAATACTATGGTATTTTAATACTATGATACTTAATACTTTAAACAGATCTGTTCACCTATGAACAATAAATGTAAGAGTAATAATATAAAATATTTTACCACTCAATTTAACTTAAGAAACAGATTTACTGTCTGGATCAATCTGTCAGACACCACATGACTGCAACAAGTAATCAAACACACACAGCTGTATTCCTAAATAATATTTGCTGGCAAAACATGACTTGAATTCCATTGGGATCCACTTCTGGAAACCTGATTGGAATGTCAGCCAATGAACGATTTTTTTAAAAAAAAAATAATTTTACTATATGCTAGCAAAAAGGGAATGCACAGAGATAATAAAATGATCAAGAATTGTTACAGATACAAGGATCTAAGAAACTGCCTGTTGCTAAATCAGACCAATTCCAACCTGTCTAATTCCAATTCTGTTTATTTCATTTCCATCTGTTCTAGCCAGCTGTGGCTCACAAAGGCAGACATTTGTTCCAAGCACTGGAACCCAAACTACTTTAACTAGAAATTCTATTTAAGTGACTAGGTGATCTTCTATATATAAATCTTGTACTTTGTGATTGAGTCATGCCCCTTCTGCTCAGTTTGAAGGCATAAAACTTCAGCTTAAACTAAAAGGGTGTTTTATGGTAGAATACAATGAGACAGTGGTTTACAAATTCTTGCAATAGCAGTGAATTTGTTCACTCCCCTTTCAATTGACGGATGCTACTGACTGGAACGATGGCCCTGATCACTGTGTTGGATGCCTCCAGGAAGGCTGTTTCAGAGCTGACAATACTGACTATTAACTGTGGAACAAAAGTATCATGCCTGCAAACATCATTGGTGAGAAAACAGAAATTACAATTGATTATTCTGAAAAAAAATTAATAAATTATTTAACCCCATTATGAAACAAATTACCATTCAAAATGTTTCAACTTTCAAAGATATAAATACATTTTCTGTGCTTTTGAAACTATAGACAAGTTTAGCAACAAAATTATTTTGTAGTCCTGCCTTTTTGTTTTACAGCTTTGAATCCAAAATGTTCCCTCATCAGTAACAGCTCTGAACACCTGTTCCCAATAACTAATGTGAAAATCATCGGACAATAGCAGCCTGGGAAAATCAGGCCCGGAACTATTATCAGCAAGAATACTTCTGTTTTCAAATTAATATTAGGTGATCCAGTAACCCTATTCCAGGTGCTTTTATCCACTGGCATTCAATGAGAGTAAAACATGTATTCATCCCCAAACTTCAAACAGATCTTAATCCTGTTTTCAGAATAATTTGACTTTGAATAGCTGCAGTAGATAAAGGAAGCAAAATTACAAACCTATTCAATTAGTTCTAAATCAGCACCTGCATTTGTGCTTCTAAGAACTAGCCATTCTTTGAGAAATATGGGCAATTGTAGTAAAAACATAAACTGAAGTTGTAGCCTGTCACAAGATCAAGACAAGATAGATGACAACCTGTAACGGTGTATCTTAGGGCTCCATGACTTCAGTTTGGAATTCGGATGCTTGTATTTGCAGTAAATTAAAGAAAGCTGAACCCATCTAGAGAAAAAAAACAGCAAATCAAATTA